CACACACACACAGAGAGAGAGAAAGAGAGAGAGAGAGAGAGTCTCTTTCTCTCCTCAATATGTTACCAGGTTAGCCATGTTCAGCTGAGAACGAACCATTAAATGTGTACAGCTTGTGGCATTCTGATGGCAGGTTATCTCATAGGATATTTTCCACAATGTCCTACCTTATAGACATTGCTTCATTGGTTTATCAGTTGTAACTTTTCCATGGGTCACAGATTGGCACCGTTTAGTCTATTAAAATAGTTTCAATCAAAAGCAGAGCAAAACAATCAGGTCTTAAGGAGCCAATTGAAAACCCTCAGTGAGGGAGCCAAATGCACCTCCTGAGAGAAGGGTCTGCACAGGGACGGCCCTACCACCACCACAGAAAAGTCCCTGTTGGTTGTGCATGCCAGACTGATTACTTTGTACTCATGGGCTCATGAATGAAGCTTTGGTGGATGCTCCTAAGGTCTGGGCAGATCCATGAAGGTATTGTCATTCCCTTGGATAATGTGAATCACAGTTGTTTAGATCTTTAGAAACAACTGGAAATGCATAGGCAACCGGTCTAGATAGTACATACTGACTGTTACATGTTCCAGCTACCTGACTCCCAGAAGAAACCAGGCGGCTGCATTCTAGATCAGCCAAAGCTTCTCTAAATGATCTTCAAGGCCAGCTCCATGCACAATCCATTACAGTGGCCCAATCTAATACAACCAGGGCATGGAAAATTGTGGCAAGGTCTGTTTGCTGTAGGTTGGAGTGGAGCTGGCAAATCAGTTGGTTTTTTGTTCCCTTCTTCTTCTTCTTCTTCTTCCCCCCCCCCCCCGACCCACCCCAGCTGAGCGATTTGTTCCCTGTAAAAACTCTGACCTGATCAAGAATCCCAGGCATGGACACAAGGTTTTCAGCAGATGACTCTTGGAGACTTCCTGTAGTAGCCACTGGGCTTGGTGCTCAGCAAATTGCCACAGCAATGTGATGGTTTCACTGTGGGGCACAGGCAATAATGAGCTCCGGTTGAAGACACAGAAGAGCAATGGTGCAGAAGCAAGCTACTCCAAGGGCAAGTAGACTTCAGACTTCTGGGATCTTAGGCAGCTCCCCCACCCACCCTTTTAAAATCAGGATAATCATGTCCATCACTAAAGTGAGGATGAAGTAAGACAAATCCTAGGATCCTGCTGGCCAGCATAAATGGTATAAGTTGCAATGGCCAGTTGCCACTACCCTGTTTCCCTGAAAGTAAGAAAGGATCTTATACAGTATTAATTTTTTGCTTAAAAAGGGCATTAGGGCTTATTTTCAGGAGATGTTTTATTTTTTTCATGTACAACCATCTACATTGATTCAAATGCAGTCCTGTCATCTTCTTCTGGTTGCTGCACAAAGGTGGAGGGCGGGGCTTCACTCAACTGGGGCTTATTTTTGGAGGTAGGGCTTATATTACGAGCATCCTGAAAAATCAAACTAGGGCTTATTTTATTTATTTTATTATTATTTATTTATTTATTATTAGATTTCTATCCCGCACTTTCTAGACAAAATCTACTCAGGGCAGCTTATTTTCATGGCACATCAAGGCAGGTAAGTGGTACACCATGAGGAATACAAGTGGGGACTAGTGAACTAGACATAATTTGCTGCTGTGATTTATATTATTATACCAGTTGCACTGGTATAAATAAGCAATATAATTCTACCAAACTGTTCTGGCTGATAAGGGGGGGGGGAGAATCTGAAATCCATGTTTTGGTAATGCTTAGATTAGGACCAACCAAATATATACAACATTTTGGGCAACTATTTGAGATCTCTAGATTTCATTATCAAGCTGGATCTTCTAAAAAACCAAAAAAGGTTGAGTGAAGAGGGCAGGAGGGAGGCTGATCTGATGCTGAAGTTGTGATATCTGTGTAGGCAGAGTGCAGGAAGAGGAGCAGATTAGTTTAGCCCCTCACATATTGTCAAAAGCAGAAAATCAGTCACCAAAAAGACGGCAGAAGTGGATGCAGATTTACCTAAAACATATGCTAACATGCATTTCTACATTCAAGTGTAAAAATAATTACCGTAATTTAAACAGAAATATATCGTTCTCATCATAGTGGGATAGAACTGTAACCAGGTGAATGTAGCTCAGGCTGACATTCAGATATTACTGCTGGGCATCTTTTGGGTTTTTCGCCCCTTAGGGTTCTTTATCTTTCAAGTGGACTTGACTGAAGCTTAGTTCTTCAAACAGAAGATTCTATCACAGACTTAAACGGAGCAAGGTGGTACAAAAATATCATGGAGCTTTCAAGCTGCACCTAGGATTGTTGGGGCAAAGCTACAAAGACATAAAGGCCAAACCTCCCATTTCTGAAAATGTAAATCTCCATTGTTATTTGGGTTAGGCTCCTTAGAACTAGCAGAATAAGGGAACAAGGGTGCACCAAACCACATGGCTGAGGCTAAGAATTTGATATCAGGAGGAGAACTGAGCTTGCCATAGTGGGTAGGTAGGTGGGTAGAATGGAAGGAATAGCAGCCCAAGGTGGGGATGGCGAGTGACAGACCAAGAAGCAAAAGGAGGCATTCATACTCACACACAGAGAGAGGTATCCACACTTATATACACATACACACATATCTGTATAGGCAAGCAAATATTCCCAGACATTCTGGAGGAAAGGAGGAAGGCAAGCAGGTTGACCAAGTGGAGGAATATCTTAAAGGAGGAATATCTTAAACTCATAGTCCTTCAGAGAAAAAAAGCCCTGCTGGTACAAGCCAAAGACCTGCTAGTAGGTCCGACCTGTGCCCATCTCTGATGGGCACAGGTCAGGAGAGAGAACCTAGTCACAATGACTGAAGGCACCTCTGAATATCTCCACAAAGGCCTGACAACCTAGGAAGGCAGTTCTGCTAGATTGGGCCCAGCTTCATTGAGCATGTTGTTTCCAGGGATGGGGACTTGAGTTATGGGACCTGCTGCCAAGTCAGACTTAAGTCCCTCCAGTAACTTAGCTTGGAATCTACTTGGTTTTTTGTGTGCATTTTTTTTTTGCAGTGACCCACCCACTCCTTTTTTCCCCTGGGGAAAAGAGTTTGTTCTTAATAGGAACTTGGGGCTTGGGACTAACAAGTCTTGTTACTAAAGACTTACTAAAGACTTACTAAAGACTTACTAAAGACTTGGACTCAGACATTGGACTTCTACCCAGAGAATCACCAACATCCCTGACTGTTTTGCGCCACAGCCATCCCAAATGCTTTGAAGAAGGCCACAGATAGGAGCTGAATTCTGGCACCATAAACTTACCGGATTGCTTGTAACCAGCTCTGCAGGAGCTGATATGCCAGACCACTGGCTTCTACAGCCTTCATCCTCTTTCTCCAGGTGCCATGGGCACAGGGGCTATGCCAGGATACAAACGGACATGGCCCAGGGTCTTTTTCTTGGTGACGTTCTTGCCTGTCTGCCTTGACACCTCTGCCTTCTGATAGTAGAACCTTCTTTGCCCATGACCTCATAATGGACCTTTCTTCAATGAGGACCCATCAAGGACATCAAGACTGGGAAAAATTTTTTTCTCTTAGATGAGTCTTGCAGTAGGCTGTTGAATGTCTTTCTCTCCTACACTTCTTTTGTTTGAAGACAAGAAGGGGGGGAGTGAATGTTTGGGGGTTAGTGATGGAAAGTTACTATAGTTCCCAGAATCTTTCAAGCAGAATACGATTCTGTGGAATTTTGAAAGTAGCAGTCCAAAAGGTAGCTTTCGGAAATGTGTTAAGTTATCTAGGAAGGGGCCTGGGGCTGTTAATATTGCATCTAGGGTTAAATTCACCCTGATTTTAATGCATTCAGATTGATTCTTGGTTGCTCTATGATCTCCACCCATTAAAAGGTCTTTTGATGAGTCTTCAGGAACCTGTACACACTATTGCTCCTGTCTCTGTGCAAGGAGAAGGTTGCATTGCCTGCAAAGTTTCCCCATCCTTCCTGCAAGCTTCTTTTTGTATTTTGCCCAATGAGTTATTAAAAAAAATAAGAGGGTAAACAATGACTCAGAAACAATCACATGGACTTGAGTACCCTCTTTCCCTGAAAATAAGACCTAACCTGAAAATAAGCCCTAGACTGATTTTTCAGGATGCTTGTAATATAAGCCCTACCCCAAAAATAAGCTCCAGTTGAGTGAAACCCCACCCTCCACCATTGTGCAGCTACCAGAAGATGGCATGATTGTACTGTATTTGAATAAATTTAGATTGTTGTCTGAAAAAAATTAAATCCCCTGAAAATTAGCCTTAATGCATTTTTGAGCAAAAATTAATATAAGACCCTGTCTTTTTTGGGGGGGAAAACGGTACAAATGGTTTTAACTGTGTTCTGTATGCTTGACTGGAAAAAGGTCCAAGTTGATAAGAATTATGTCTGGCACCTCCCATTCTGCTGTAGTCCCACCCTTTATCCTTAGCTCTGCCCACCTCTGGAATAAGGCCCTCTGAAACCTTTCTGAAATTAGATTTTGTCCCGTGAGCTGAAAAGTTTTCTTTGTTGCTGCTATCGGTTTTTATAAATATAGAAATATATTTCTATATTTTCTATATACTGTATATAGAAAAATATTGTTGCAATCTGGCATAGCGCTAATATGACAGATGGAAAAACCAGCATTCACTGCAGCCCAGAGCATATGAATGGAGACAGATAGACAGACAGAGATGGGGTGGAGAAGGAGAGGGAATCTGAGATCTGGCAGCCAGGCTGGCAAGAGGAAAGTCACACCAGTGAGTGGAAATGTATAAGAGCCCACAGAGGGAGAAAGGTTGGACGGGGGAAAGTGCTCCCTCTTTTGCAAAGCTAGAAGCTGCCAGTCTTATGTCTCCGGTCAGTTTCTCTTTGCCATTCACTGGCATGTTGCCAGCCTAGCTGTATGATCCTTTGACTTTTTCTTCACACATACTACTGCTGTTCTGTCTGTCTGTCTGTCTGTCTGTCTGTCTGTCTGTCTGTCTGTCTGTTGCAGTGAAAACTTGCAGTCTGATCTCTTTTTTCTATCATACTAGTGCTATGCCAGATTTCAAGAAATAATTTTAAAAAATAACCTCACAGCAGCATCGGTACATGTCTGTGAAAGGCAGCCAGTGTGAGATGACAGATGCAATTTACACCAACAGAAGTGTACACATATGCTGAAATGATTTAAAATAAATCAATTTGATATATGAGTTAAAATAAACAACTTTCTAGCAGCCAAGTAAAATAACTTGCTTCAAAGGAAGGGAGGGAGGGAGGATCCATATCCTAAATCTAGAAGATGTGGGAACATCTCTCATTACAGTATATGGAATCTGGAACTATGGATCAGAAACCATTCAGTCTCCTCCCTCAATTGCATCAGTTCTGCTTCCAAGATTATTTGCAGTGTTCCCATTTTGTTTTCAGATCTTGTTTGCGGGCATTTGCTCACTATTTGAAGAGAGTGTTGTAGTTAATCTGACATTAATCTCCAGTGCTGGGTTCATTACTGCTCCTTGCCTGGGGCAGGGAAGAGAATATTTTCCAAACAGGAGATTGCCTTTTCTTTTTAAAACATCAGTTTCAGGGCGGTGGGGAGGGGAAAGAGTATGTGTGCATGGGGATCCATAAATGAGCGGGGACGCGGGTGTAAGGTTAACTTTCTGTCTGGTGTGGAATTTGTAGCTGGATGTTTAAGCAAAGTAACTGGGGGAAAATTATTTTTCATGTATGTATGCTTCTGTGCAAACATGCAGAGTTATTGAACACAGGACACTGAGAAGGCTGTAGTTCAGAGGCAAAATACAGGCTTTGCATACAAAGGGCTCCAGCATTTCCACTCTATGGCTGGAAAAGCCTCTTTTCCAAAAACTTGCAGATTGCTGCTGCTAGTCCTGGTGATAGTCCTCTTGTGCAAGGTGAACCATTGACCTGTTTTGGCACAAGACAGCTTCCTATGTGCTGCTGCTGATTCTGATAGGCTCAAATCCCCTGTGGACTGGACTTTGTGAAATCACAGTCAGTTCCAGGAGACCCACCAGATGTGGACCCTATGGACTTGTTAGGCTCGTGCAAAAGGGTTTTCTCTGCAACAGAGAAAGATACTAGGGACATAAACAGGGAGGACACAATGACTCTTAAGATCTGGTCTCTTTCTGCTGTCTTGCCCTTTCCTTCTTACCATTCGTCGCCCCTCTGCCACCTTTTGTAACATCACACCTGAGGAATGGGTGCTGACCCTGAAAGTATTGGATTTTGTGTGTGTGTGTGTTTAAATCATTTTAGATTAGAATGTGGTTAATCCTTTTGTTAGAAGAGCACAAGGCAGAAAAGCACAGAACCATGAGAGATTCAGCCCACTCTCACCATCCCCTCTGTATCACACTATAGCCCTTTATGTAGTAAAAAAAATCATCACCCTTGTTGTATCTTTAGATAAAAAGAAGTAACTTCACTAACAGTTACCAGCTGTAGTTACAATAAGAGGAAAATGGATCTACCTTGTCAGATTTACTTTGATTTGGGAGGACTCGATGGCCTTGTAGACCCTTTCCAACTCAATTCTTCTATGAGCTATGATTCTATAGATAGCATTGTTTTTTTTTTCTTTCTACTATGCTCCTTTTGTGGATGGTGGTCAGGAAAGAAGAGAAATCAACAAAATAAAAGCATTACAGGCAAACAGGAAGAACGTGCTGGCCCCAAGACAAGAGAAAGGGGGAAAAAATATCACCAATCAAGCTAATGGCAAAGAACAATCACTTTAGCCTGTGACCACTGCCCACTGAAACCCAGTGTTAAGGCATGCAGGATGGCTGTTTTTCCAATAGAAAGCTCAAGCACAAATTTGTGCATTAAAAAGATTAGCATACAAACAAAGGGATCACCTTGAACATGAAGTTTGTGTTTTGGACTTTGTTTAATCATTGGGGTGGTTGTCCTTCTACAGTAGATCAGCGAAAATTTATGTGATTACAGGATACAGGCACCACCCGTAATTTCCCAGCCCAGTTGGATTTGTGCCCCTGTTGTAACCCGCTCCCCGCACACCCAAAACACTTCTGAAACATCTGGTCTCATTTCAGCCAAGCTGTCTCTTCCTGTTAGCCTGTGATAACTGCAATGGTCCTGTTGCTTTCTCTGAAAAAAGACGTGGTTACCTGCCATGGTGTGTTGATACTTTGTCACTGGCCCTCTCACATCCTCAGGATCATCTGGGCTGGAACTTCCACATCAAGAGGCTGGCAACTTTAGTCGTGAGCTGTTATAGACTGCAGAGTTGGGTGGTGGTGATCCCATCCATAAGTGGGCCCATTGGCCCCCTGTTCTTACTCAGATGTCAGTACTCCCCAGTTAAGCCTGGCCTTTTATCTGGGCAATCATGTAATCTAGGCTGTGTCCCATACCGTGACATCAACCCCGATTAGTGCTCGACCAAACAATTCTTTTCTTGCTAATTGCTTCAGCTTCAAGTGGATGGTTACTGGCATGCCCTAGCAAGGCAACCCTTGACCCTGCCAGATCACTTTATGCCCTTTCTGGCTGTGCCCCCCCATTAAACATACATCTGACTGAGCCCAGGATTGATGCCACATTAAAGTTCTTCCACATGTTTAGGGCATTACTCATGTTTAGGGCATTACTCTCGCATAGTGTGTGTGCATACCTGCTGGTGAGAGAGAATGACATGGCAACTTATGCTCTTCCAAGATCTTTTCTTGAAGGGAGTTGCAGATCAACACTCAGTTCTCAACAGCTTGATTTGCAGGGTTTAAATAGCCACTTATCCCCAATTTGAGAGGAGAGCAGCCAAAAATGTTCTTCCCTTAGAAAAATACTGTCCCTCTTTTGTCTCCTTGCAGTTGCTGCCCAAGTTTGTACAGTTGTCCTGCTCCCAGACTAAACTCTGAGCTCATGGAAGAGGGGAAAGAGTTGTGCCGGGATGTGGCAGTGGGCAAGGAGGCAGAGGGCCGGGGTCCCTTATATTCATAGCCCTTCTAGTTTTCCCCCACCCCATGCCCTCACTTTGTTATTACACACCATCACGTTGTAATCAGCTTACAGCAACCCTAATAAGGCTTTCAGGTAAGGTAAGTGAGGGTATGGCAGGGAGTGAGCTGGTGTGGGTTGCTTTGAAACAGTAAGGCTTGACACTTTGGCATTGACAGAGTTGCAGTATTACCAGGATGCACCAGGTGGTGCTAACCAAAAGAACTTCCCTGAGAGATGAAGATGCCAAGCAATAAAACAGTGTAGATAGCAGAATAGTTATATTATTTACAGGATATATAAATACATGTACAGCTTAGTCCGTGTTTCCAGTCCCGAAGTCATACACAGCAGTTTCCACAGAGTTCAATGCATAAATCAGAGTCAAAGTCCTTGTAAATTAGTTCAGCAGTCAAATACCATATGTTCAGTCCAGTAGCCAGAGTTCTTCTTCCAACATACAGCACAAAGACACGGCTTCTTCCAGGATACTCCAGCACAGCAACAAG